AGGTGGCGGCGCGGAGGCAAATATCGGTGTGGGACTTTCTATTAGTCCTCGCGTACAATATAATCCTTCAGTTTATAAGTGGGGTCTTCGGTTTACTGAGACTAAAAGGGCTATGAGTGTTAGCGAATTTTTGGAACAAGTCGAAGAGTATCGGGTCGCTCGCGGAGTTACAGAAGATAAACTTTATAGATCTATGTAGATATATTGGACGGTCGAGCTAAAAGCTGGTATCGTTCGTTGCGCGGTAATATACATTCATGGGCAGAGTTTGTTGCCGAGCTTAAAAAATAATTTTTACCAGATGGATTTCAAACAGATTTCTTATGCGAGTTTCGGAAAAGTTACCAAGGGGCCTCCGAACCAGTGGGTGAATTTTTCGCGAGAATTCTAAATATGTTTAATAGATTGCCTGTACCTTTACCGGACCAAGACAAGTTGGAAATTATTTATAGGCTTCTCGAACCGTATTATATTGATAAGTTGGGACTCGCAAGTTATAACACGGTAAATGATCTTAAAACACTGTAAAAAGTTGGAATGCCCTAGAAGTCTTTCGTCTAAGGTAACGGGAGATAGGTATGGGAATAATTTATTAGAGCCCGATTTAGCTTATGAAGATCCAAGCTATCAGAGTAGATCTGCGGTCAGAACTCGTGATAGGCGCGCGGAAAGGGTTTCAAGTATTCGTTGCTGGAACTGTAAAGAAGACGGGCATTCGCAAAATGTTCTAAACCTCGCGAACGTTTCCGCTGCGGTAAAGAGGGAACAACTAAATATAAATGCACTTGCTCTGCAAAAAACGGAGATGCCAGTCGGCATCCATCGACAAGCCGATCGTAGACGTTGTAAAAAAATTTTAAACCAGTTGATGATTCATGGAAAGCCTGGGTAGAGTTCGTGCGGATGGAATTCAAAAGGGATCGTATTAGCTCATTTTTTAACTTCGTAGGGAATGATTCCCGTCCTTATCTTAAGGTTTCAATATTTGGTATTAGCCTCGTAAGATTATTAGAATCAGGTGCAACACAAACGGTGATTGGTAACGTTGGCTGGAAAAAGTTACGACGTTTTGATTTAAATTTAGAAAGGTACGATAAGGTAGTCCGGGTAGCCGACGGGAGTACGTGTAGTGTTTTAGGAGTAGTAAATGTTCCTGTAGAGTTAGGTTCTAAAGTTAAATTAGTTAAAGCTCTTGTAGTATTAGATATTAATGTAGATATTATACTGGGTATAGATTTTTGGCGCGACATGAATATTATTACTGATTTTTCTAACAATCATTGGGAATTTGGGGACGATAAGGGAAAAGGTATGGGCTCGATGCTAAATAGTTGTTCAATAGACACAACGGGTAGTGATGGAAAATCTAAGCTAGAAGCTATGGTTTCGGTTTTCTTTGATAAAATGGGATCTGGTTTAGGGTGCGCGAAAGGTGTAAGACATGAAATAAACACAGGCGATAGCCCGACAATAAAGCAGAGATATTATAATGTTTCACCTTATATTCAAAATTATATATAGCGAGATAGATAATATGTTAAAACTCGGAGTTATCGAGCCTTCTTGTTCGGCATGGTCGTCTCCTGTAGTTATGGTGAAGAAGCGCTCGGGAGATTACAGGTTTTGTGTCGATTTTCGAAAGGTGAACGCGGTTACCAAAAAGGACAGTTACGTGGTGCGCGTTCTTTTTGATATCAAGTCGGCTTATTGGCAAATCGAACTAGAGCCAGGCAGTAAAGAAAAGACAGCTTTTAAGTGCCAGGTCGCGGTTTATATCAGTTTACTCGTATGCCGTTTGGGTTACACAATGCTGCAGCCACTTGGCAACGTTTTGTAGAAAGAGTGCAGGGCGCGGAACTTTAGACGTCGGTTTTCGTATATCTAGATGATATTATAATAATTTCTCCAGACTTTGAGACACACTTGCAAACTTTGAACAAGGTATTACAAACACACTTGGACGCGGGATTGACGCTTAACAGAGATAAATGCTACTTTTTAAGGGAAGAGTTGCGATACCTAGGATACCTCGTAGATAAAGACAGCCTCCATACCGATCCGACTAAGGTAGAATGCCTGCAGCACCCAAGAAAGTTAAAGAGGTACGCCCATTCTTGGGAATGGTTTCATGGTATAGACGTTTTATTCCCAATTTTGCGTCTAGAGTTTTGGTTTTAACTAAACTTACGCGTAAAAGTGCAACTTTTGTGTGGAGCCAAGAGTCCCGATTAAGGGAGACAGTTGGTGAATTATGTACATGTGGTAAACGATCTCCCTTTATTTGGTTGTTGGTATTGACATGTGTTAGCAAGATACAAGTCTTGGAAATCTGTAAAACGTGTTCTCGAAAGTTAGGTGCTCGGTCTGGGAAGGTAAGCGCTGGATGTTTAAGTTCTCGTATCATGTTATTTTGTATTTCTCCGTTATCTAAAGCAAAATTTAAAAAAAATTGTTAACACCGGCGTTTTTTTATCTGTAGGCGTTTTTTTTTCCTGCTCCTGTTATGCCTATATGTTATGGGCGATTGATCAAGATGAAATTGAACCAAGAGGCCCGATCTTTTGTTTTTCTTTTGTCGCTGCGAGAAAAAACAATAAAATGAGTACACCCCATTTATAACTAATTATATATATTTATGTACTTGGTAATATACCTGTATTGAAATTTCTCAGATTTTTTTTTAAGGTAAAGCGAAAGCCATATTAGTAGTTTTATGGTTAAACCGCGCGGAAAGCTAGCCGAAGATAAAACTTACCTTTTCTTTATTTGTTTTTAAACTACTTGACGTTCTCTTTTCTTTTTTTCTCTGTAGATGGATACTTCCTTTTTTTTCTTTTTTCACGGTCATACTCGGGCGAGGTTGACCCCTGTTTGCAGATTGAACCCACCCCGTGAATTTACCCGCAAGCACATTACTTGCGATACTTAACTAAATAAAATAAAATAATCGGAGGCGTCTGGAAATTAAAATATAGCACAGAATATAGCGTTACAGTCTTACATCACTTTGGAGGTACCTCTTCGCCATATCGGGGTTCAGGGAATGGGCCGTTATGGCGATGTCATCGGCGTAGAGGCACACGGTAGTACGATCTGTTCTGAGCATGTCGGAAGCATAGATGTTGAACATGTGCGGTGATAGCACGGATTCTTAGGGGACGCCTGTCTAGACGTCTCAATAGGTGGATAGGGCCACTTCCACCTTCGCACGCAGCTTCCTGCCTTTGACGAAGGACTCTACCAGTTTAACCAGTCCGACAGGGTAGCCAAAGTCGAGCATCTTTGCCAGAAGCCCATCGTGCCAGACCCTGTCGAAGGCCTTGGCGACGTCTAGAAAGACAGCCACGGTGGATTCTCGGTTATTGAAACCTGCAGACAGATATTCTACTAACCTGAGAATCTGCTGCTCCGTTGAGTGTCCGCTGCTGTAGACAAATTGTTCGTCGGGGATGACTCGCAATTCGTTCGAGCTCTCACGCAGTCTGGTTAGGATGACCCTCTCCGCTACCATGCTCATCATTGGCAGGAGACTGATGGACCTGTAACTGGCAACAAAGATTAGATTCTTACCTGTTATCGGGAAGATGACGTCGTCTTTCTTCCACCTGGCGGGGATTCTTCGCAGTCGACGGAGTGACGATGTTGAGCAGCGCCATTACTCCCTTGTGAGGGAGCTTTCTGAATATTCGGTTTCCGATCTGGTCACATCCGGGTGCCTTGCGGGGGTTAAGGCGCCGCAGGATGTCCCCCATCTCCTTGGGTGTCGCCGGCCTGATGTCATCCCTGTCGGGTTGGTGTCTATAGCGCCGTACGTATCGCGTCGGTGCAATCCTCGTCTTCGGCGTTGAGAAGGTTTTCCCTACGCTGTGGTTCAAGGCTGTCGACGAATGCCTGATGTAGACGATCCCGTTCTCTCCGTGAATCGGAGGCATCGGCTTCCGGGTGGTCCTCAGCGCCCTTTACATCGTCCACAGGCTGCGGTCTTCGGGGTTCAGTGACTCTAGATGTCGTTGCCACGAGTCTTGGTAGTGCTCCTCTAGAGGCGCTTTTACCCTCCGGTTCAGTTGGTTTAACGTGTGCTAAATGACCTCGGATGGAGCGGGGTCGAGCGGGATTATCGTTCTTTACCCACTTCATCGCTGTAGGCCCGGACGCCTCGTAGAGATAGGTCCTTTCCCCGTCATTCCGGACCGCCAATGCGGCCGGATTCGATCGGTTCGTGGGGCCTCTTCCTGTCCTGGCTGGACCCCGCCGGCTAGGGCCCTTTCTTCTGGCACTCTTCTTTCTTCGCCGGCTCGTCTGTGTGAACCCCCGGGGGTGGTGGTGGTTTTGGGTGAAGTTGCATGACCTATGCAGCTTAGGAGGCGCTTTGCTAAGGTGGCCCTTCGGTTAGCGCGGGAGGGGAGAGTGGAATAAGGAAGGTAGGGGGAAATGTGTGTGTGTATGTGTCGTCGTTTTCATCTCTTGATCCTGGCGGTCCTGAAACAGACAGAAAAATTTCGACTCACCCTGCGTCCAGGAGTTGATGTCTAGGCCGCCTGCGTCTGCCGGCAGCCTCTTCGGATCAGTAGCCCACCGCGTTCCGGATCAACGGGTTGCTGTGGATCTCGGCGCGCTCGAAAAACTTTCTCGCGCGCTCCCTGATCGCTTCCAGGGCTAAGGTGAATCCCAGATCCCGGCGAATGTCGCTGTTGCGGACGAACCAAGGAGCTCCCGTCGCGCAACGGAGAGCGATATTCTCGACAGCTTGCACCCGGGCTAGGTGCGTCTTTGCTACGTGTCCCCACGCTGTTCCAGCGTACGTCAGCTGTGGCTGCAGTACTGCTCTGATGAGGGTTAGCTTATTCGGCAGGCAGAGACGGCTGTCCCTGTCTCGCAGTCTCAGGATAGCCTTGACGATGTTGAGCAGCGCCATCACTCCCTTGTGGTATTCGGTTTCCGATTTGGTCGCATCCAGGTGCCTTGCGGGGGTTAAGGCGCCGCAGAATGTCCCTCACCTCCTAGGATGTCGCCCGTCTGATGTCGTTCCTGTCGGGTTGGCGTTTGTAGCGCCGTACGCGTCGTTCCACCTCGTCGGCGTGGTCCTCGTCTTCGTCGGCGTGAAAGTTTTCCCTACACTGTAATTCGAGGTTGTCGGCGAATGCCTCGGCCTTTTCATACCTAGTGTAGACGATCCCGTTCTCTCTGTGAATCGGAGGCATAGGCTTCCGGGTGGTCCTCAGCGCCCTTTGCATCGTCCACAGGCTGCGGTCTTCGGGGTTCAGTGACTCTAGATGTCGTTGCCACGAGTCCTGGTAGTGCTCCTCTAGGGACGCTTTTACCTTCCGGTTCAGCTGGTTTAACGTCTGCTTATCCAGGGGGTGTGCTGTCCTCCTGGCTCTTCTTTTCGCCGCACGTCTTTCCCTGATTAGGTCCTGCAGCATAAGAGGTAACACACCTGCATAGTTCGCTATCCTCCTCTCCGTCTTCTCCATGGTGCTGGCTTCCAAGGCGGTGTGGATATCCATCTCAAGGTTCGCGAGGACAGCCTCGAGGTCCGCTGCGTCGCGGATGACCGGAATGGGTGCGCATATTCGTTGCATTTCTGCGCGGAATACGCCCCAGTCGGTCCGCCGCTTGGCAACGGTGTCCTCGCCGCGACCCTCGTTTCCTAGGGTTAGGAGAATGGTGGCATGGCTCGTCGCCCCCTCGTAGTGCATCGCCAGATCGGCAGCCATCGATATTGCCCTGAGCAAAGTGATATCCAATACGTCTGGTCTTCCAACTGCACCGTAGTACGTCGGTCCATCGGGTCCGTACGCTGCAACGTCCTCGTGGTTCTGCAAGAATTGCAGAAGCACCCTGCCTCGCGTGGTGGTGGTCATGCTGTGCCATTCGGGCGATTTTACGTTAAAGTCTCCGATTGTTACGGTTTGGGGCCACGTCTCTACGACCACGTGATCGGTGAGCGGGAGATAAGGAGGCTGATAACAGGTACCTGCGAGTACGGATCGATACGGCGGCGGCTTTTATGTTTTCTAGCTGAGGAATCTGCAACATATAGTGATCTATATCTCTCTTTACGAGCAGAGCTACGCCTCCTCCGTGTCTGTATCGGTCCCTGTAATACACTAGGTAGCCAGAAATCCTAACAGTGTGTGCGTCTGTGTGTGTGTGTCTATTCGTCGGTAACAGTAGCAAAATAAACTTATCGTAGTAATGATCACCTACGTGACGAACCGAATAGCAGAATAGATTCCCTATGGCATTGATCAGTCATTCAGGGAGCCAATTTGTAGAATAGAGCTACTACGGGATTGATCACTGATTATGTTTAAGTCTATTGTACTTTTTCACCTTGGTTTCGAATTTTCACAACTGTTTTGTAATTCTCCTGATAGTCTATATTACTAGATTTCACCTAAATTTTTTGAACACTAATTCATGAATCGACTGTTTATAATTAGTCCGACTCAGTTAACTTTAATTTCGGTATTTTACCTCGGTTTCTAACGTCGTATACATTTGCCTACAATATTCACGACACGATTTCACCCAAGTTCTGCATACCCTCGCGGTCCTGATAATTAAGAGTATTCGACTTTTGCTACTGTCCCTAACCTATATACAGGGTGATCCATTAACGGTATCGAGCGGCTGTATATAGGAAACTAGACGTTCTACGACTATGGGGTAAAAAATTTATCAAAAAATACGGCCAAAAGAAATTGATTTAAAATATTTTCAAGTTCAAGGAACTGCTATAGTGTTACATAGAATTGTCGGTTTTTCGAAATTTCGCCTATATAACCGACGTTGAAAATACACTTTTCCAATAAACTGTTTAACCCTTCACAAGTTCTGTTTGAACTTTTTTTTTGTTATTACCATAGCAACGCTAGTATGAAGGATGCCATCTTGAAATTTTTAAATCGTCATAACTTCTAAATGCCTTAATCGATTTCAATAAACGATGGCTCATTTTAAAGAACTATTAATAAAATTTATATTTATGATAATGGAATAAAAATATTATTTTCCTGGTTACCTTACCCTACAGCACGAGTTCAAGTCAATCAATTTACTTTTCGACACGGTTACTATTAATACGGCCACTCGATATAGATTAATGTCCAAATTCGACTGAGTTTATAAAGTTCACTGTTACGGTTTTCGGTCCTGATGAAACCTTGAAAAAGATAATAAATAATTATCGAAAGCTTGGTTTAAGTTAAAATAGAGTTTTCTCTCAACCACCACTTGACGACATCCCCAATATATATTTTTTGGTCTCTAACTTAATCGTCAAGATTAATCTTGTCATTTCAATATATATATATATATATATGCAGCGGGGATGCAGCCCCGTCTAAGAAAGAAATTTGGTTTTTAACTTAGACAGCCGTCTAATTTTTGGCTTTATATATATGTACAGGGTGTTAGTAAATAAGTGCGACAAATTTCAGGGGGTGATTCTACATGAGAAAATAATGGCAGTTTGCTTATAAACGTATGTCCGCAAATGATTCGTTTTCCGAGATACGGGGTGTCAAAGTTTTTCTTAAAAACTGACGATTTAATTTATTGCTCTGAAACCGGTCGAGATGTGCAAATGAAATTTGGTGGGTTTTAAGAGGTAGTTATTGCGCATTTTTTGAC